TGTCTGTTGGCAATGATTATTCACACCATGCCACTCAGGACTTCTGAGGGCTGTTTTAGTGACCAAAACAAACTTTATTGCAACTTTACTCCTAACAATGCCACTTGGAAACTTTTACCTTAAAGAAAACATATCTCTTCCCAAACCCTGAGCCCTCTTCAATTTCCCACAAAATCCAAGCCATCCTTTTAGTGACCAGCTTGAAATGCGTTTATTGCTGACCTCTTCCTGACTGGGAGGATAAGGTTGCGTGATCCCCACATTACTACACCGGTGGCTGGAGGAGAGGTCGAGGAGGAAGTGATTGATGAAAAAGGATTCATCAATACTGTATGGAAACCTCTTCCTACTGCGATCACCATGTCAGCAATTAAATGTTCTGCCTGTCAGACAGGTGACAAATTGCACTAAGTGAAAGATAATATTTACAAAAAACTGATGCCTATAGATGTTTTCTGACATAAATTGTGATCGCCAGTGACCAATAAATAGAAAAAAAATCACTCATGTGAGCAATGTTTAACTAATGCAAGGCTGCAGGGGGAGTGATGCATAAATTAATCTATACAGTGTCTTAAAATCCTGATGTTCAGCCATGATAGATTTTATCACAATGATTTGTTTTCTGGGTAACATCCATCTATCCAATTTCTTTACCCGGTTATTTTTATTTTTTGTCTCTACTGTCATTGGCTGAGAGGCAGGACAAGTCACAAGGTCATGACGGTCCAACACAGAAACTCACAGGACAAGCAACCTCTCATGCACATTCTCTCTCATGGACCCAATGAAAACAGAATTTCTGCAAGATGAATTTGAAACCTATTATGACCTTTTCAACATGGTTACAATTTAGAGGTTATGAAATATTTGGCCTGATGCTCATCTTTGACACCTGCAAATCATGGGACATGCTTCTTCAAAGTAGCTGATAGCAAATAACATAATTAGGAAGTTTTAATTTGAATTGATGCAACATGATTAGGTCCTTCACTGTTTGCAGCAAGATGCTACAAGAATCTGTAAGTTTGTTGCAGAGAGTGAACTGTCTTCTGCTGTCATCTGCTGAGGTAGCGACATCAGAGCCAAAGGCTGGTTATGCAAAACTACAATTTTACACCAAACTAAAAGTATTTTAGTTTAAAATACTAACATTTGTACACTAAATTAGTATATTTAGAGTGCAAATTTTAGTATTTTACACTAAAATACTTTTAGTGTAGTGTAAATGTATTTTACACTAAATACTAAATACCATTATCATAAATAAAACTGTATGTGCCTATAATTTATTGTACTAATTTAGTATTTAGTTTATTTTGCACTAAATTAGTGTAAAATGCTATTTTTACAGTAATTTAGTGTACATTTAGGGTACTCAATTGGTGTACCCTAAATGTAGTAATTTAGTGTACTAGTAAATTACACTAAATTAGTACATTAGTGATAATTTAGTGTATTAGTAATTGCACAAATACACTAAATAAGTAAAATTTATGTATTTAGTGTATTTCACACTAAATACCATTCAGTGTAAAATCATATTTTACACTAAATTAAACTATGTACCTATAATTAATTTAGTATTTAGAGTATTCTACATTAAATAGAATACACTACACTAAATACTAAATGAGTGTAATTTTACACTAATTTAGTGTAATTTACTAGTACAGTAATTTAGTAAACTTCTAATTAGTTACTATAAAGTAACTAATTAGTATCCTAAATTAGAGTACTAATTTACTAGTAAATTACACTAAAGTAGTTGGTTAGTAATAATTTAGAGTATAGTAATTTTACACTAAATAAACAGTATTTACTTATAATTTCTAGCCTGTAAACCTGAATTTTGACAAAAAAAATGGATGGATGGACAGAAAGCCCCATTTTACTTAGACACATCTTCAAAAGCATATTTTCCCAATGATTGGCTGAAACTAGAAAAGCGAATTATTCCTAAATATACAGTTTAAGGTAACTCAAATTCATAGAGCATAATTGTGTTAATTCATCTGTCATAAAGTCCCTGTTAATAAAATATTATGATGAATTAACCTCATAAAGGTGCTGTTAGTAGCAGAACAATGTGCTCAAGTGCATGTTAATGGTTTGCCTTATCATGATCAGGAGCCTTTTTTTAGGGCCCTGCAGAGACCACTAAAGGGGCAGGTGCTCAAAAAAAAAAGGGCACATCTAATCGCATTTTAGGATAGAATATTAACAAAGTCACACAGCTTTCAGAGTTTAATTAACAATGATAGATTACAAAATTGTGAGACAATCAAAGAACATCTGCCTGGGTTGCTGTACTTGCAGTGGAGATGAAGACGGTCCATTCAGAAAAACAGAGCTGCATCAAACTTTAACGTGGAACTGCAGAAAAAAAAAAAAAAATAATTCATGCATGTCACTATGAGAAAAGACTACTCTAGTTGTGTTTTAGTGTATTTTGTAAGTACCTATGTACATTTTCTTCAATCTTTCCTCTTCTTTTTTTCTTGTCAGTTTCTCTTTTCTTTTTTGCCTCATTGTCTCATCTTCTCTGTGTTGAGTGAGTTTATCTATTTCAGTTTTGTTTTAACTTTTAAAACTTTTTTTTTTTTTTTTTTTGTTCTCTTTTGTTTTTTTTGTGTCATGTCTGTCTTGAATGATATGTTAATTTCACTGTGAATGATTGGCACAGTTGACCCAATTGGTCAACAATCGACTACCTTTTGCTGCTTCTAGCAGATCCTTTCTTTTTTGTTTCTGACGTCTCTCTTTACGTGGCATCTTTGAACTGAAAAAAGCAAAGCATAATGAATTATGATCAGAACACTATACTAAACCACACTAACAATTCTTTACCCTTGTGTTTAAACCAATATGTTTTTCAGGCCATAACACAGCATAACAATATTAATTTCAGAGAAAATGAGACCTCTCCTATGGAGTTCAATTTGTTTCACAATTATTCAATTAAAATACTAACCTCAATTAAATAATATAAAATTGAGATCAAGACATCTTGAATTGTAACATTTTTTTCAACAAAAAAAATTTTTGCTTAATTTTTTTTTACACTGAAATCACATTTTTTTATCTCATGACTTTTAAAAAATTATTTGCAAAACAAACAAACTTATTTGCGCATGTCAGAAATCTTTGCTTGCTATTCAAAGTTTTGCTTGCGGTTCTCATTGTAGAGCCTAAAATCAAAACCAAAGATTTCTGATGTGTGCAAATACAAGTTTATGTTTGCTCCTTCATTAATGACATGCTTTTATTGGACAGAAGCAGTTTGATTATTACATACATTATATCTACCATGATAGTTCAGGATGAGTTATTTTTAATTCTAAATTAATGTCCTTGTTGGACTTTAAATTCTCCTTCAAGACACGCTAGAATAAATGCAATGTACATCATTCACCAAAGAAAATGAGAAAGTCGGACATATATCCATTAAGGAGATGATGGTTTTGGACGGGCGATGTGCCCCTATTGCATAAATAAGGCAGAAGAATGACTGCTGTCACCAACAATACAGGGAAGCTATTTAGTTTTCTTGCTTTGCTAGCAAAGTCATTAGCTAGCAGCTAGCTCATAGCACAACAACAGCGTAATATCTGATGATAAAAATACTGGATCGATAGATAAGAATAGCTTTTCCTCACCTGGCTTCCTCCTCCCGCTCAGTAGATATTCAGAGAAAGGCGGACTCAGAGAGCGCCCGATATTTTCCTCTTGTTATAGGCTATTTCATTTCTGCTTAAACTGCGACTCCGTGCTGAAGGAAAAACGATACAACATTTAACGTTTTCCGTTATCTGACTAGTAGCAAGCCGACTCCAGTTTTTTCACCAAAAATATTTTTTTTCAGTTCACCAAAAACTGTTTTGTAATCTGGAACGTTCGCTAGCTTGAGCTGCGCAGTTAGCCGCCTCATCTCACCGCGCGAGAGGCAAGTGCGTTTTGCGTCACGGGCTAAAGGTCAAAGGTAACAATGTGACCGGAGGTTTTTCTTGCAAAGTAATAATAATAATAATAATAATAATAATAATAATAATAATAATAATAATAATAATAATAATAATAATAATTGTAGTACATGTGTAAGAAAAAAAAAAAAAGACCAAAAGGGCACTTGGGGTCATGGAGCAAAAGGGGCAGGTGCTCAAGCCCCCTCCGCCCCCCCTGTCTGCACGTGCCTGCTTATTTTGTTTCTTTTTTTGTTTTGTTTGTTCTCTCATTATGAGATGTTGCTCTAACTGCAGGGAAACATTCCACAAGAAACCAAAACATGATCTTTGACAACTCATGGTGTTCAAACTCTTTTGTCCGTTCAGTCCACACAAGTCAGTGCGCACGTCTGCTTGTTTACTTCAGTGTGCCAGGCGCCACCAGTTTAAGATTTTGGGTAAGAGGGGGCATATTGTCTGGGGCAGGGAGTCTCACTAATGAGGCTGTGTAGCTGTGGGATGCGAGTCACACACACAGACAATAGTCTGGGGACCATTTAGCGTCTCCTCTCCATTCCTCACACATCACGCAGAGGCAGCTTTTACTCAGCCACCATCCCGCGTCCTCCCTTTGCCCGGCTCAGTAAAGATGAAAACATCCGCCTTCGTTTGGCAGCGCAGTATCAGACTTTTTTTTTTTTTTTTTTGCTCACAGAGAAGTTTCCCTCTGACAGGTAAAAGAAAAATAAATAAATAAATAAATCGGGCAAACAACACATGCATCAGTCCACAGTTTGAGTAATTAGTTTACAGACAAATTGGCCCAAAAATAATCATGAAAAATCATAGAGGAACAGAAAATACACATGCAAGCTTTATATGAAGTTTTTATTTATTATCGTTATTTGTTGATACATCTGACTCGGGCTAGAAATGGGTGAATCTAGATGCTGATATAATAGAGAGAGACAGAGACAGGGGAGGGGTGAGGAGGAGAGATCTAACAGGTGTAGACCAGGACTGCTGCTGGACCAAACGCCTCGAACAGCGATACGGTGGACGGACACAGCGTGGACAGGAGCGTCAGGCGGCCGTGCGCTCCCCTCTCGGAAACGCGTCCCCACGGGAATTTTGTGTGCTGAACTGCCTCATAAGTCACCGGGATTGTTTGTTTGTTTGTTTTTTTCGTTTTTTTCTGGACTTTATAATTTGTTTTCGAAGAAGAAAAAAAAAGAGAAAAGAAAAGAAAATTGCGCTCTGATTTAGAAACTGGTGTCACTTACCGGGGAAACTCCTGCGCTCCTTGGCTCCTCGGCTTTTCATTGTGGCGCTCCAGGGGGTCGTTTCGTGAGACAGGTGAGAAACACTGACTAGATATTTGCCTTCAAGTTTAATTAGTTGAAGTAGGCTATATGCTTTGTTTGAAAAGCAGACACTTTAATAACAAGTTTACACTGTAAAAATAATTGTAAAAAATGGACACGTTTAAGTGCTCAGTACATCTTTTCGAGTAACATTTGATTTATAACGTATATCACCTTTAAATTTGTCTGAAAACAAATCAGTAAGTGTTTCGTTTTCCTTTATATAATTCTTTTCAGATCCAGACATAGACAGAAGAAGAATCTACTTCACCACAATCTGTTGAATCAAGAAAACCAAATTGAATAATTTCAGAGAGAAAACAGTGAGCTGTCCACCGATGATCGTGCCTGGAGAAATATCTGGTGACCTTTTTCCGTCTCGGCTATGGCATTAAGTGAGACATCTCCATGAAGCGCTGTGATATCTTTTAAGAGAAACCTCAAGGGACATCTATATTTGAAAAAAAAAAAAAGACCAACAAAACTGGTCAATTGTTCTTCATCTGACACAACCAATCATTTTGCTGAGTGGACTTTTGTTGAGTGGACTTTCGGGGACAAACTGTTGCTACTGTGAATCTCCTCAATCAATCTCGTGTTTTGTAAAAGTGTGACAACAAGACAAACAGTGAGATTTATTAGTGAGTCGTCATAAACCTTAAGAACCTACTGGGATTAATTTGTTAGAAAGATCTTGATGTGAGACTACAGGACATTTCTTTTGAACTCTAATTGGATCTTCTCAGATGTATTTTTTATTCTTCCTGGCCGTGTGCCATTACAGGTTTTCTCTAATACTTGGCCAACCAATGCTCTAATAACCCCGACCTTTATCCCCCTTAACATCTTTTCACACCTTTTCATTCCAAACTGGTTTCTGGAGAGATTTCATCCTGGCCGGCACTATTCCAGCCAAGGGGGAGGAGGACTTCCTCACACTGGCTGCTTCTCGGCTCAGCCGCAGGAAACGCGTGATCGTAGCCGCTGTTGGCGTGGCCATGGTTCTGATACTGTTGGTGGCTATTCCTCTGCTTGTTCACACAACCAAAGGTGGCAGTGCTGGGACCACCGGGAGCCGATATGAGATGCTTGGAAGCTGCAGGATGGTGTGTGATCCGTACGCTACCTCTCAGCCTGGTCAGGAGCTCATAGCCGTGTCTCCACCCCCACAGGAATACTCTGGAAAGAAGATTAGGTCTGGACTTCGAGGGCCTCCTGGGAATCCGGGTCCTCCCGGGGACCGCGGACCCCCGGGAGAGCCGGGGAAACCGGGGCCTCAGGGTCCCCCCGGTCCTGGTCCTGGGGGGTATTCTCCCTCAATCTACACCCCTAAAATAGCCTTTTATGCAGGGCTACGCAAGCAGCACGAAGGCAGTGAAATACTGAAGTTTGATGATGTGGTGACCAACGTGGGCAACTACTATGAGCCCAGCACCGGAAAGTTCACCTGCCCTCTGCCTGGCATCTATTTTTTCACCTACCATGTACTAATGAGAGGTGGTGATGGGACTAGCATGTGGGCAGACCTGAAGAAGAATGGACTGGTTAGTAAAAGTGTGCGTGTGCGCATGAGTGTGTCTGTGTGTTAAGCAGAGGCTTGGTCTGTATGTAAATGCCACACAGGAACACACCGCAGATATCTTTTTTTTTCACTGTTGATATCCCGTCTCATATTCGTCTCTGCAACATTGAGCTTTTCAGATTCAGAGCACAATCCATTTAGCAAGTGGCAACATGACAAGCAAAGAATGAAACGGCAACCCTTCTCCTCATTAAGGGGGAGGACATGCTATGCGGCCTTAAAATCTCAGCCTTCCCATATTTGCATTCCCACATGTGCCTTGGCTAAATGACAAGTGGCAGAATGCAGGCAAAAAGGAACAGTCTAATTAGTGAGAATCCCACACAGAAGCTTGATTATCACCTAAACACAAGTGCAAAAGAGCACAGGAGACATGTCTGTCAGAATGTGGACAGTCGAGTTTGCACCTCGGCTAAGGAAATAATGAATTTAATATCGACAGTCCACTCATCCACTGCCTCGTTCCCCAGACACTAATTAAACACAGAGGTGGTGCTGGGAAGAAGAGGAGTGGAGATCACAGGGATTTTATCTGAAAAGTCCAGATTCAAGAAACATTCTTCCTGTTCATGTTGCTTTGTACATTCATTCATCCATCAAGGACTCTAAATGTAAAGAATTTTTGCTCAGAGCTTACTTTGCAGACATGAGTTGCAATGGGCATCGCCTTATGTACCTACGAACTAAAATGTGCACTCGGTTCTTGATTGTGAAACTTTATTTGACCACAGACATGAAGGTGCATTTAAGGGCTTCCCATCTAATATGCCGCATTGTCATTCAAGTCATTTTAGTCTGCTAAATAATTCATTCATCTTGGATTAGACGCCCCCTCTCTCAAACGGCAGCTGTACCTTCCTTCCCTAACCTCATCCTCTCTTGTTCATTGATTCTCCATTAATTATCTTTCGCTCAGCTCAATTATTTAACCTCACCCAGGTCCTCGTGACAACCGTTGGGTGGCTTCTTTAAACACTTCTGCTAAATAGAGTGCACTCTTACCGGGGACAGACCCAAGCATAACTGCAGCTGGATGAATATGGACTGCAGATAAAATTCTGCAGAATGCATGATCGTGTTTAAAGCCCACAGGCAGTCGGGGTACGATGCCCGAGGCCATTCGGTGGCCTGGGCTTAGTAAATGGGGGGCGTGTTTGACAGGTTGCATTCCTGACCACAGAATCAAAGAGCCTTGTTTTAACCATTGCCGTAGGTGCTCCAGCTTTATTGGATATTGTCTCTTGCTGTGCCTTTCAAAGGATCACCCATAGCACAATTTGACCATTTGCATTTTCTACCTGTGTTGTTAAATATTTGCACATTTAACAGGTGGGGTCCTTTTTATTCAGTGCTCCATTGAGTTCCCACGTTTATCCTGAATTTATTCTGCCACAATGAGGACGTGCCGACGTGGGCTGATGACCATTGGGGGAGGGGGAAGGGGGGTGAGGACGATAGATGACTTAATGGAGGTTTGGAGACAGTGGGCTGGTAGACGAGGCATTTGGGAGGCGTGTGTTGAAGGCCAGGATGAGATCAGGCAGGATGACCGATGAACACCCACTTTACACGTAGCGGCTTGACAAGTCATCAAGGTTGACCATGAAAAAAAAAATAGGCAGGGGAGAAGAAAGTTATTTTCTAAACTCGTTACATGTGTGAGAGGAGTAGCTCAGTGTTTCTTCTGAAGTTGAATTTAAATCACATTCGAGTCAAATCAAAATTATTTGCTTGAATCCTGAAACAGCAAAACATAACAGTTTTAGACTGGGATCAGATATTAGTGTAGAAATTGTTCAATTGATGAATTGTAGAAAATTCAAATAGATAAAAAGCTTAAACTGATTGAAAAACAAAACAAAAAAAAAAAAAAGTATTGACATATTTTATCATCTTAAGACACGGCAAGATGTGTAGCAACCTGGAGGATCTGGTGAATCTGTTAGAACAAACCAGTTCAGGTTAGACTGGTCAATATGTTGTGATCCTTGATGCTTGTCATAATTTGATGTGATCTTAATGCTAATGAAGTAATGAAAATACAAATGTATATCTTCTCACCTATGCAGCACAGGTTTCATAATTCTCACATTCTCTTTAAACAAATCTTTATTCATTATGAAATAATCTAGCTGAGGTCTGACAAGTCCAAATATGACTATAGAAGGTGAAATGTAGCCCAGAATGACAAAAAAACAAAAACAAATACACTTTAAGTTCAGCACTAAACACTTAATTAACATAACCACACACACTTGATAGACTGCAGTATTTTTTTCATTTATTTGAATTCAGGATAATCTAATCAGCTTTAGGAAACAGTTTTGTTGCATAACAGACATAATAAAGTTTTTCTATGTGTGTTGTGGTGCCCCACATGGTGTGGCGCCCTGTGCAGAATGCCATATGACTTACATCAAACATTGCCAACCCCCTGTTGACCACATCAGATGCTCATGACGTTTAAGTTGTGATTTTGTGCAGATACTTGTACTGTTAGGAACCGTTGCGCCTCTTTCTTTGGTTCCTATAGATCCACTATCAAGTTGCACCCTCTCCCCACCATGTAAGACCAACCTGCTCGATGCAACCTCCACAAATCACTGCACCACAACATTGCTTCAGGGCCAGGGGATTTCTGATCGAAGGGGGAAATCTTCAACCGCTTCCATGTTTGTAATTGACCCGTGAGCGTCTGATTGACAGAAACATCCTGTTCTCGTTGGATGTATTAACAACCCTGTATGTTCCCTGCTCAGCTGTAGACAAAGAGGCCGAGGATGATAGATGGGTGCGTTTCATTAGGACACCTAATGGCTCAATATGGATTTCATCTTTCTCCAAATGAATAGTTCTAAATATTTCTCATTGCCTCAACTGATGATACAAATGTGTTTAATTACTCTGCTCCTAATATCCTGTCTTGATATATGACTTGTAAATGACTTAATATTCCAGGTTAGTACCAGATGTTATTAAGACAGTGTGTGATCGTGTTGGCATGCTTCTCGAGGCATGAAGAGACGATAATACGTCATGTGTAGTTTCTCAACTGCACATCCCACACTCTCCTCATTAGCTGAGCTGCTAATCCAGTTATTTATAATAATAAAACTCACCTCTGAATATCTACGTTAAACACTCTCAAGGCAAGATGCTATGTAGACAAATAGATACCTGCTCTGCTCTCATTTAATCTCGCCCATGTTTTTTTCAGCTGTCACAGGTCTCTTTTAATAGCCCTGGTAAAGGTCAAGTTATTTCACACGGTAATGTTAAAATGTCATCACTTGCTGTAATGACCGGTACCTGGATTAACTTTCCCCAGTAAGGAGACATAGTTGGGCTGCAGGTGGAATATAATTAGACTCAAAACAGACAGAGTGTGAGATACAGAGAAGAACTGTGACAAGACAAATGCTGTCTTTTTAGTTCATATAGAGGCACAGCTTAATAAAGTAAAATATTGTAGCAATTCATTTCAAAAAGTTAATTATAAGTACATTTGTTACATTCAGAGAGATACATTTCAATGGTTAGTTTTAGTTAATTTATGATTATGGCTTCTGACCAATTAAACCTAACATCTACATCTGCACAATAAAACAAATTGCTATTGTCATTGCAATGTCAGTGTTTGCAATGTCGCAATCTCAAAAGACTACGTGGATGTCATCGTCTAAGAGATTAAAAATACATTTTTTTAAATGACAGATATTTGGCCCCTTGGGTGGAGTTTAAGTGTCCATATGCACAACTAATAAAGTTATTTGCTGCTAAGGTTTGGATGATAGGGAAGAGAGCAGAGGGAGGACAAACAAAATATTTTATTAATACAGATTAATGAAATATTAATATCAACAATACTGCAATATTGGATTTAAACACAGAAAAGCCTGACACAAAAGGGCTGTGTCCAAACATGTTGATGAAAAATTAAGTGGAAGGAAAAACTGTGGTAGGAAACAGCACTCAGATAAGAGGGATAGCTTTTGTTTTGAGAGGATTGTGAATCAAATCTCATTTGAGAGTCTGAAAGAGATTTCTGAGGCATGAATTGTTTTGGAGTGAAGCTTTAAGAGTCATCACACATAGACACATCAAAAACATGTTGTATTCCTTAACCTAAAGTTTTCCTGAACCACTGCTTACACTAGAAGCATCTTGTCAAGGGCCAGGAGAAAAGAAAACACTTTATGGCTGCTTAATGGACCAAAGTCCTCATTAAGAAGAGAGTTAAATATTGCAGTTAATTGAAAATTACGGCTCAGTTTATGGAGGAGGAGTGGAGAGGGACAGAAACCAAGTTGCTTGAAGTCCAGCGTGTAAGTTTTAGTCAGGGACGGCTTGAGGTGCAACATCACCACTTGCTGTTCTTTGTGTGTTATAAGTCGGTGAAGATGTCCACCAGGAAATTATTAGAGCACTTTATTCTCCTTTAAAAATGCTAATTTCATTTTCCAGCAGGACTTACTACCTGCTCACACTGTCAAAAGTACAAGTTCCTGTCTCAGTGACCATATTATCAGTGTGCTTAATTGGCCAGGGATCTTCACGGAGCTAAACTCCACTGAGAATCTATGAATTATTATCAGAAGGAAGATGAAGGGCATCAGATGCAGTCATGTAGATAAGCTGAAGGTTTCTGTGAAAGCGTCCAGGGATTCCTAAACAACTTAGCAGAACCAGAGAGCCCGGTCACATCTGTGCCACCATTCATTGATGCAATAATTAATACAAAAGGATTCATGCCCAAGTTTCAGGCACGTATTATGGAAAGTGCATGGACATACCTGTCGGTAAGCCGAGATTTCTGTATTAATATCCATGTTATACTCTTACGGTACAAATTGTTCTGAAACTGAAAGTTGGGTTTCCATCAAGTGGAAGGCTTAATCATCAAAACTGACAAAGCTAAACATCTGACTCAGAATAATATATCCTTTTTCATAAAACGGATTA